AAAAGAATTCAACAGTTTCAAAACTCTTTTTTTTTAACATAGTCGCAATCATCCTAAAAAAGCCTTAAGAAAATTAATTTTATTTAATATTTTTTATTGAATGATGATGATGGCACAAAAAAATAGCTTATGTTGATCCAATTATGGATCTTGTGAGATTTATATGATTAATAGTCATCCAATCATTGTCTAAGATCAAACATCCATCATAATAGATAATTTGAAAGATATGCAACATAAAGTGTATTACATATCATTTGATCTAATTATTCAACTTGATTAAACAACCGTGCATATGTGAAAAGAGTATTGAGATTGTACATTGAACCATCTTAAACTATTTATAACTTTGAAATTTTAAAGTCAATCATTATTTAGGATTAGGGAAATGTTATCCCTCGAATCACTTATATCCATTTTTTGGCCTTTTTTTTGTATCCATATTTCCATTTTAAGCTTACAAAAGCCTCAACAACATAATCCAATATGGTAATTTAAGATGAATAAATTGACTATAGAATAAATAATTATAGAAGAAAAATGTATGTGGCTTGAAACACATTAATCTCCTAACTTTTAACATAGAATGTAAAATTATAAATTGTATGGTAAGAAACCTGCCCGTGGTGTCTTGCCAACAAGATTGTGATGTGGATGTATGGCTGCTCATCAATTATGATGGAGCATATGTCAATCTATTCAATGTCGATCCTTACTTTGATTATTTGTGAATCTTGAGGATCGCTGGCCCGGGCGAACACCGCAAGCAAGTCCATCGAGCATATTAGCTCATGGGAAAGTGATAGCCGAAACTTCAATTTGTTAGGTCGATCCGCTATATGGGTCTGAAGGATCTGATGAGGCATAAAAAGGGACTAATAATTAGCCCCAAATCATGTCGTTCCTCAAATGTTCATTAGCTCAGAATTGTTCTAAGAAAGTCCATTTTTCCCATTACAACCCCATGGTGGCCAATTATACTCGTACATTTCGACCACCCATAATATGAAAGATTTAATCATAGCCATCCAAATTAAATAAACGGCTAAGATTATGTAACTGCACAATTATGGTTCTAAACTGATAAGGATCCAAACCCGCAAACGCTTTATTATTTCATCACAATCATCAACAATCAGGTATGACAAAAAAATATTTAATTAAAGACAGAGGTAATTGACCTTCTTACTAATCTATTTAATCATAAAACAAAACAATTGGGGACCCCTTTATTATTGGGTATAAAAAAAATTTTTAATTATACAATAAAATTCACAAAAAAATTATTTGAATTTAAAATTTAAAGGAAGTAATGTTAAATTTTTAACCAATTGACTACAAATATTTTCAACTTAAATAGCTAAATGTGGATAGAGTAAATTTTCAAAATTGGTTTCAATTCTTGGCAGTTAAGAGAATTATATTTATATATTGGGCATTTACATACATTGTACCCTATTCCTTATATTTACCTATCCAACATCTATACTTAGTTTTTAAACTTATACCATGCAAATCTTTTATGTCACATTAATATATATATATATATATATATATATATATTTATCACACAATACTTATATAATTACTTAACTAACAC